CCTCAACAACAATTGTTGCCTATGGAGCCATCATTTTTTGAGCATGATGACATTCCTATGGATGCATCACCTGTCCAGCCACAAGATACTCCATCAGCTTTTGTACAACCAAATCAAGAATATTATTGGTCACCTGAAAGGAACGAGTGACAACCTTTTCAATGGGATAAATAATCACCACAACCACAACAAGAACGTATGTTTACAAGTAGGATAGATATTGGATGTGGTGGAACAAGTAGGCAAGAAAGAGGTCAAAGGTCAGTTAATTGTAGTAGTACTAGTGGATTTTCTCACGGATTTATTTCAAACATATGATTTTGTGATAGATTCAGCTTCACCTTCCCAAAGCAATCCGGCTTCAAACTTTGATTTAAATGAAGAACTAACTAGGGAAGATGTTTTTGTAAATGAGGAGAATGTGTATCAACCAGAACCAGTGTATGATGCTCTACCTGTGCAATGGTCTATGCCAATTAGCTCATGGGATTTCACACCTTAAGAATATACAAATACCTAACCATCAGAAAATGAACAAGAGCCTGAACCCCAAGTAGATAGGGATGCAACAAATGAGGACGTAGACACTCAAAAGGATGCACGTCAACCAGAAAGACGAAGGGGATTTCTTTCTCACATGTTACGTCTATTTACACATCCTCCTGATATATATAGTCATTCATTAATAAAAAAAAAAGGAAATGGAGGATAGTAATTAAATTTATTAGTGATTTCTGTATTAGTGACACTATCTATAATGTAATGTTGTTATTTACTACATCTTATTATTAGTGGTGTTTGTTTGTAATGTAATGTTGTTATTAAGTGGTTTCTACATTATATTTGTAATGTAATGCTGTTATTTATTAAATCTTATTATTGTCACTATGTGTTTAAATTTAAATGTAAGTTACTAAAATGTGGCTGGTCACGTAATTGTAAATTAACATAATCGAATAAGTTAAAAAATTACAAGATATTAGTAACAATACATTAATATAAAAGAAACTGACATTCATCACAATCAATAACAACATAACAAGCAAAGCATCAGTACTCCACACTATGAACTAAGGCCAGGAGCATTAGGACAACCGCTACAACTATGGTTTTTGCCTCGACAAAGACTACAACGTCGTGAACGCCTCATTTGTCGTTCGTCCATTTCGTTAAGAAAACAAGTTGATTTCGGATGACCTTTTAAAGTACGCTTTAAGGCGAGGTTAGTACAGAGCTTCGGTCCTCGATATTTGCACCACTTCAATTCATTCCCGACAACCCCAAATTCCTTCTTGTAAACTTTGCACACTTCATTGATTGTATAGACTTCATTCACATAAGCACGTCAGTCAATGTTTTGACTACAACAAGCTGCAATGACGTGACGACATGGATATCTATCAGTTTGGATGTTTTCACAATTGCAATAATTTTGTCTTAGATGAACTTTATATTCCTAGTTGTTGGATAAATCTTGAACATGAAAAGTCTCATTGCGTCTATCAAATTGAGTTACACGAAGGTTTCTTGAGCCATGCTCGTTTGATTGACGATGACTTGTTATATTTTCTGAGAACAAATGTCCAACATTCTTACGAGCATAAGCCTCGCTCCTTTTACGTGCAAACAACTGTGCTAATTGGAAGTATGTAGCTTGAATAAGTTTTGTAATAGGCAAATTGCGAGCGCCTTTCAATACAGAATTAATGCATTCAACAAGATTTATCGTCATCTGGCCCCATCGATGTCCACGATCAAATGCTAAAACCCATTTTTCTCGTGGAATTTCATTAAGCCTGTCTATATAAATTTGTCCACACTCCCGTATTCGCTCATAATGAATATTAAATTCATGCTCAGTTCTTGAGTAACCTGTAAATAACAAATTCAAATTTCATAAGCATAAACAATGTTATCTAAAAACAAGTACATTGTGTTACTTCAAATAAGAAAATAAGGTTAATTACCCACACGAACAACAAGTTTATGCAAGTTAGGAGCCTTGAATCTTCGCAAGAAATTTGCAGCAATGTGCCTGATACAATACATGTGGAATGCTCTTGGAGGTTTCCACTGGCCATTGCTTCTTCTTATTGCTGCTATAATTGACTCATGACGATCAGAAATTATGCCAACACCATCTTTGGTAACAACATATTTTCGTAAATTTTCGAAGAAAAAACTCCAACCATCTGTTGTCTCACCATCAACAACAGCAAATACAATTGGCAATATATTTTGATTTCCATCTTGTGCAACAACAACTAGTAGAACTCCCTTGTATTTGCCATATAAACGAGTCCTATCAACCTGTACAAGTGATTTGCAATGTTGAAATGCTATAATGTAAGGACCAAAACTCCAAAACACTCATCGTAGTATTTGAACATTGGGAAGCATTTCACCATTGCGATAAGCCTTTGCAGCATCTAATTTTACAACAGATCCTCGAATAGCATCACACATTGCTATGCACCATTGTGGCAAAGCTTCAAATGAGGCTTCTCACTGACTAAATACTTTTTCAATTACCTTTTGTTTTGCCAACCAAGCTTTTCGATAACTTATCGTGTACCCAAATCGAGACTAGATTTCTCCAATCACTACTTTGATTTTAAAAGAAGGATCAAATTCTAGCATTGACTTTATACATTCTGCAATTATGTCTGTATCTAACTTTCTGTGATATTGAGAAATGATTCCAACAGTACAAGTGTGTAGACCATTATATTTTTAGATTTGTCAAAAATATGCATTCTTCTTGAAACTAGCTCGAAAAAGCCAGCTACAATCTAGGCCATATCTTACACATTTGCAATAAAAAGTATTTGGTTCTGACTCTAACACTTTGTAGTCCACTCCTTTTGATATACTGTAAATGCTTTATTGTTTGTATAACAACTTCTTTATCACTGAATTGCCTTCCAACATACAGTTCACCATCTATCTTTGTGTTATCTACTAGTAGTGAACATAAATTAATTAACAAAACTAAAATTAATCTCACTAATATAATTATAAATTTCACACACCTAAGTTTGCATAGTAGTGAACATAAATTAATTAACAAAACTAAAATTAATCTCACTAATATAATTATAAATTTCACATACCTAAGTTTGCATACTCTAAAAACTCAGAAGCATTCATAGCATCAAGATCTAATTCACGCATGGAGTGACTCGCCAAAAGGATGTTGTCCACCTATATGGGGCTTCTCTTCATTAGCATCATCATTAAGATCCTCATTGCTTTGCTCATCACTTTGATAATCTCCTTCAAAGTCATAGTCATCACTTTCACTGTTGTTCTCTAGTAGCATGACAAATTCTTCTTGAACCTCATTACTTTTGAAAATAACATACAACTCAATTGTACCACTTGGAGGATGACGTTGTTGATGTATCTAAAACATTTGTTGAACGTCATCATCGTTGGTTATTGGAATCGAATGATATTGCATAAAACCACCAAATATCAACATTGGACATCGATACATAACACTTTTCACTATATTTGGAAACAGAACTTCATAAACATATTGACAAAGCCAGCACTTTAAATCTTCAAATGATACATTATATGGAATATACACACATGTTGGTTTCTCGTATGCAAATGACATACCTTTACTCGTATTTGGTATAATCTCACCGTTAAAATAAATTACAACAAGGACGCTCATTTTTTCTTTTCATAAACACATAAGCTTCACACACACTCTCTAAGAACTTCAAATGGTGTAGGGACAAATTGCAATGAATGAAAATTCTAGTATTTATAGCCTTAGCAAATTAAAATTGCCATTGACATTTTATAACATTTTTTAAAAATTTACATCGGTTAAAGGTCGCCTTTGACGAGTTTAAAAAAGTGAATACTTTTCTAACAATATAAATTACCATTGGTAAATTTTACCAGTCATGTTTACTTTTCTGATAAAGTACACTCGCCAATGACAACTTTGTTTTATAAAATTTTGTCTTTTTATGCTGTAAAATTGCTAATGACGATTTTACTTTATCAGATTTTATTTTTTTACGTCTTAAAATCGCCATTGGCGTTTTTATATACACCATATTTATGTAATTTTGTAAAAAATACCATATTTTTGTAATTTCATTTTAGAAAAATCATAATAAAAAAATGACCCTTGTTTATTAAAGTTTTGTTTTCTAAATTTCAAATGAATTAATTTGATGTGTTTTGACTAATTTTAATATGATTCGGTTAATTTTTTGAATGATCAATTTTTTAGTTTATATAAATTAAACACTTAACTATTAAACTGATTTTTAACTCAAATTGATTATTTTTTTATTTAATATGGATTTGACTTGAGTTGTATATCTAGATATAGTGATTAAGTTTATTATTAAATAATTTTTGTATATACAAAAACTCAAATCTAAAAACTTAATTAAGTGATGTTGAACTATTTGTTACTAGAGATTTTTTATTTTTTTAAAAATAATTGTTATTTAATACAATACTAAAATTATAAAATAAGTATTTGTTCATACAAATAATTAATAATAATCAGTTTATAAAGTAAAATTTGGGTCAGAACTAATCAAATACTACCTAAACAATAAAAGAAAAAAATGATATATATATATAAAAGAAAATCTTCTGATACAAAAATTATGTAAATTTTTTAACTATGCAAAATGTTATTTGCGTGCTATTCCTTTGAATTCCGAAACAAAAAGGTAAGACAGATTTAAAAAAAAAAATATTTAAGAGTTTTAATAATCGGTGGTCCATATAAGAGCATTAGCTCAATCCTGGACTTGGAATGGCAGCACAAACTCCGAAAGACGGGGCTAATTGTAATCCACGTTGCCCTTTGTTTCAACCATGAAAAATAGGTACCTCAAAACTCAAACTAATTACGTATTTTGTATCAAACTACATTATGATACCCTCTTCTTTCATTATTTTTTCTTAAATTTATTTATGACGGAGATTAAATTCGTAAAAACAAAAAATAATTTTATATATAAATAGAACATGGAATTATGTGACACTATCTGGTTCCTAGTCCTTACCGAAAACTAGAGGCCAGGGTCTCGAGTGTGTGGGTTTGTTGATCTCGAACACCAGAGGTAGAGAAGAAGGCTCAAAATATGGCAGCAGAGTCACTGAGAGTAACCACTTCATCTCTCTGCTACCTCAATGGATCACAGAGGAGACCAACCCCTCTCTCTCCTGTTCGCTTCATGGGTTTACGCCCTCGACCCTCTCACTCTCTCTCTTCATCTTCTCTTTCGCAATTCTTCGGGACTTCTCGAATCAACTACAGTTCTTCCACTTCACGCCAACTTGCTCCAAGAAGAAGAAGCTTTTCTGTTTTCGCCATGTCTGCTGACGGTATCTATCATTCTATCCCTTTTTTACCTGTCTCGTGTTATGAATGTATACATGGCTTCTTAAAAGAAATAAAAAATGAATGTCATGAAAGAAAACATTTTTTTTAGTTTGATTTATTTGTTTGTCATCCTTAAAATTTGTATGTTATACTTGAATTTCGGTTTGAATTATCATATTGGGGGGGTGGGGGGGTTGGAGAACATCATTTGCCTGCTCTATTGGGCTTTTGAAAGTAACTTGCATTTATGAGGAGTTGTCTAAGAAATAATGGTAGTCCGTCTTTATATTTCCTATGGTTCAATTTTATTGTATGAGACTATGAAGTGTTTTGGTTTGGTTTCATCCGTTTGTAAATGACCCTTTTTAACATTCTTCCCAGACACAAAGCGTGTTGTTCCATTGAAGGATTATCGCAATATTGGCATCATGGCTCACATAGATGCTGGGAAGACTACTACAACCGAACGAATTCTGTATTATACTGGAAGAAACTACAAAATTGGAGAGGTACACGAGGGAACCGCGACGATGGACTGGATGGAGCAAGAGCAGGAAAGAGGGATTACCATTACTTCTGCTGCAACTACTACATTTTGGAATAAGCACCGGATCAACATTATCGATACTCCTGGTCATGTTGACTTTACCTTAGAAGTGGAGCGGGCACTTAGGGTGTTGGATGGGGCTATATGCTTGTTTGACAGTGTTGCTGGTGTGGAGCCGCAATCAGAAACTGTGTGGAGGCAAGCTGATAAATATGGGGTGCCACGGATTTGCTTTGTCAATAAAATGGACCGCATTGGAGCAAACTTTTTTCGAACGAGGGACATGATAGTAACAAATTTGGGTGCTAAACCACTTGTACTGCAGTTACCAATTGGTTCAGAAGATAGATTTAAGGGAGTTATAGACCTTGTTAGGATGAAAGCTATAGTTTGGTCTGGAGAAGAGCTGGGTGCCAAGTTTGATTTTGTAGATATTCCAGCTGATCTTCTAGAGCAGGCTCAGGATTACCGAGCCCAGATGATAGAAAACATAGTTGAGTTCGATGACAAGGCTATGGAGAACTACCTGGAGGGAATTGAACCAGATGAAGAAACTATAAAAAAATTAGTTAGGAAGGGAACCCTAGCAGCCAGTTTTGTGCCAGTGTTGTGTGGCTCAGCTTTCAAAAACAAGGGAGTCCAACCTTTGCTTGATGCTGTGGTGGATTATTTACCATCACCACTGGACTTGCCACCAATGAAGGGCAGTGACCCTGAAAACCCAGAAGTGACGATAGAGAGGATAGCAAGTGATGAAGAACCATTCGCTGGGCTAGCTTTTAAGATCATGAGTGATCCATTTGTAGGCTCACTAACTTTTGTCAGGGTGTATGCTGGGAAGCTAAGTGCAGGGTCCTATGTACTCAATGCAAACAAAGGGAAAAAGGAGAGAATTGGTAGACTTCTAGAAATGCATGCAAACAGCAGAGAGGATGTTAAAACAGCTTTAGCTGGTGATATTATTGCTCTGGCAGGTTTGAAAGATACTATTACTGGTGAAACTTTGTGTAACCCTGATAATCCAATCATGCTTGAGCGGATGGACTTCCCTGATCCAGTGATTAAGGTTGCAATTGAACCCAAAACTAAAGCTGATGTTGACAAGATGGCAACTGGTTTAGTCAAGCTTGCCCAGGAAGACCCTTCTTTCCACTTCTCCCGTGACGAAGAGATAAACCAGACAGTGATCGAAGGAATGGGAGAATTACATCTTGAAATCATTGTTGATCGACTCAAAAGAGAATTTAAGGTAATACCTCGTTCTTCTTGAGAGTTTTCAATTATCCAACCCTGATGCTGTGTGTGAAATAATTACAATTAGAAACAATAATAGTACATAAGCATGGATGTTAGCTCATTAGATTGTAATGGAATCTGTTTCACTTTGAATTATCACTTATTACCTGTAAATGTGCAAATGAAGGAGTAAAGAACCATAAAAAAATTATGATGCTTATGAGACATGGCTCGTAAGCCTCAGTAAAATCCCTGTCTATCATCTGATAGAGCATTATTAATTGTTAAGTGGTATGCTCTTCCCCTTCACCTCTTCTCTCCTTTCTTCAGTAGTTTTATGTTAAGAATATGTCTACTTTTTTTTTTATAATTTTATCAAAATCACATTATCTTTATTTGTTAATGCAGGTGGAGGCTAATGTTGGTGCTCCCCAAGTAAACTACAGGGAAAGCATTTCCAAAACCTCAGAAGTGAAGTATGTGCACAAGAAACAATCAGGTGGACAAGGTCAGTTTGCAGATATCACTGTACGGTTTGAGCCCATGGATCCGGGTAGTGGATATGAGTTCAAAAGTGAAATCAAAGGAGGTGCTGTACCAAAAGAATATATTCCTGGGGTGATGAAAGGATTGGAGGAGTGTATGAGCAATGGTGTGCTTGCTGGCTATCCGGTTGTTGATGTGCGCTCAGTTCTTGTGGATGGTTCTTACCATGATGTAGATTCAAGTGTGCTGGCATTCCAGTTGGCAGCAAGAGGAGCTTTTAGGGAAGGAATCAGAAAAGCTGGACCAAGGATGCTTGAACCTATAATGAAGGTTGAAGTTGTTACTCCTGAGGACCATCTAGGTGATGTAATTGGCGATCTCAACTCAAGAAGAGGCCAGATAAACAGTTTTGGTGACAAACCCGGTGGTCTAAAGGTACATCAAATAACTGGTTCTCCTTGTTAGATTATTTTATTAGATTTGAAGGTTGGCTTGAAAGTGCTTGTGCTGTATTTTTTGTCTGAAAATGCACAATGTTTCCTAATTGATATGTTTTCTACACAATTCTAATTTCCAAGGCAGCGCTTGAAAATCCAAGGAAAGGAAAACACCCAATATCATTCATCCCACATAATCTCACAAGAGCCCTCTTAACCTTCCCTCAATATAAGATCATAAAAGAAGAATAAGGGTATACCACTTAGGAGGTTGTAGTCACGTTAACCGCATTGATTGATTGTACTTGAAAGTTTTGCCAATCGTGGTTGTCTCAAATAGTAGGATTGAGTAGTGTTGACTCAAAGGTCTCGAGTTTGAACTAGGTATTCTATATGTAGCAGACTTTGTCGAGGACATGTGGATATAGATGACTAGGATGAATGAAGGCAATATTTTTGTTCTGTTTTTACCTTGGATATTGATTCTATTAATTGAAGCTAGGCTTATTCTTTTCTTCCTTTTGATGGTGACAAACGCAGGTGGTTGATGCTCTGGTACCTCTTGCTGAGATGTTCCAATACGTCAGTACACTCAGAGGGATGACAAAGGGCCGTGCATCCTACACAATGCAATTAGCCATGTTTGATGTGGTGCCTCAACACATTCAGAATCAACTTGCCTCAAAAGAGCAAGAAGTTGCAGCTTAATGTATTTCCTTGGTCTCCAAACAAGGAACTTCTTCCCTTCCCCTTGTCAAATAGTTGTATTCGGCTTATTGTGTTGGTATTTTTTTATTGTAATTTTCCTTGTACCAATACAAGGTTAGCCAAAAAAATAATTCAGAAGCAGACAGAAAAACCAAACGATTTTTCTTCCTTAGTTGGAGAGAATGAACTGTTACGGGGCACATAAATTTTTTGGGGTAAACTTGAACAATGCTTAACTATGTTGAGAACCAAATATTATTTACCTATCTTTAGTTTTTAATAAAAATGCAAATTGAATTTGTCCGCATGATATTTTTAAGGTGAGCATTATTGTACGTTCTGAACGATTTTGGCAACTTTACCAAATTCTAGTGGCACAGTCAAGTGTCAATATGACACTTGTTTTAGAGTATAAGTAAGCTTGAAAAAAAAATTATTAATATGTTGCTTTCAAAAATTAAAATGTTAACTTTTGTCCCCTGACATTTTCATTAAACAAAAGGAAATAAAGGATACAATAGTTAATCATAAAAAATAAAGACATATTTGACGACTTTTCAAATTCTTGCAAAACAAATTAAATGACGAACAAATTTCAATTAGATAGTGGCCAAATTTATACTCCGATAGCTTTACCAAACAAACTTCTGATCAAATAATCACTCTTTTTGATAAATTCTCAGATTCTAATTGAAGACCAACCAGAAAATTATACAATATTATACTTTTTTCTTCCAATGTCAATCTCTCGTGTAATCTTTCTGTTGGTGTTTTTTCCTTCCATCGTAATTAACCATGCTCAAAATCATGCGTTCACCTTCTTATCAATCGATGGCCCCAACCCTCTGGCGAGTAACTAATTACTATCTTAAAAAATGCTAAAAATGAACCACAAAACAATAGTTTGAATTTGGAGAAAAAAAAAAAGAAAAGAACTTAATCTAACCTCCATCTGAATCAACAATTTGTAATTTCAAACTGAATAGTTTGACCAGATTTCGTTTCCCCTCAAAAGTTCATTCATGTACAAAGAACAACCAAAACGGCAGAAATTATAGTGTGTCCAAGGTCGCTCGTTTGTCAAACGACTAGAGTCTTCACAGCCAAATCAGGAACTTTCAATACTCGTAGCCTGCTTTGATCTAAGTAAAATGTACACTTGAAAGTTGAAAGCACACTTGTACAACGTTATAACTAATCCTTCACGCCCCACGATTTCAATTAACAGAAGAGTCACAGAACGCAGGACGCACAAGAGGAAAAATGAACTGTGTTTGACATATAAACAACATGAATTCACCAAGACTGAATGCACTGAGCGACTAAAAAATCTCCCAACAGTAAATTGTCCTTCCCGTTTTTCCAATCCGATCCAATCTATTTAGAGAATTCAGTCACACTGGAAAATCAATGGCTTTTTCGAAGATTGCCACCTTCCATCAAATTCACCTCATCTGGACAATCCCAGCACTGATCAGCCTTTGAATCTTGTTCACCGCCATTGGATTCCTAGTATGTTCCTGTGCAGCGTTCGGATTTTCCTGGAAATCAATCAATACCTGCATAAACACCCAACATTCATTAGCACACCTCCATTACCACAATACATAGCATGCTGTTGGGGCAAGAGAGTTTTTAGGTAGGAGGCTCACAACGAATAGGACACGGCAACGCAACCTCAAAATTTAAGTCAACAGGTATATAAATCCATCTCCACCCCTAACTTGCTCATATCTCATTCCACATGACACTAATTCACACTTAACTCCACCATTTAAAACAGATAAGAATCTGCATTCACTGTTAAAAGTAAGGATTACCACCTCTATATCCAATGAGTATTATTACCTTAGGATCTTTAGGGTTCCTTTTTATAGCCTCTGTATAATGCTTCGCAGCCTCAGGTACCAGTGTGCTTGAAGAATTTATTTCCTGCATTTCAATGTTTCCAGTAATTGAATAGTTATTTAATGTTGAGCAGATAAATAAGAAACAGATATAGTCATCATCAGGATTCTTGTTAAATAATGTTTATTTCAGAGGAATAAATATAAGACAATACCTTTCTCTCTCTCCTCATCAGCCAATTTTGATCAAAATATTCTTGTTGCTCTAATTCTTTCTTAGCCTTTTAAGCATGATTCAGTTTCTTCAAGGTGTATGGGTTGCGGTGCTCTGTAAGTGTTTTTGGAAAGTCTCAAAGGCAAGTTCATAATCCTTGGAGCATTTTGCCATTTTGATCAATGCAGTTCCTTTCCTCGTCAAAGCTCTTGCCACATCATCTTGAAGTCCAATCTTAGTTCTCTTCCCCTTTCGACAGCCTTTAATGCATTCCTCAAACTACCAAAGAAAAAAATAACAAATTGACCAGATTGATTGAGAATGCAAAATGAATGAGCAATCCCCTGTTACGGTTATTTTCACTCTTACAAGAAGCTTCTCCTAATTTTTTTCATACAACTTCCCAGTCTAATATACCAAATACGTAGAAACTGAAATAAAATCCATCTTAAACAACCAGGCAAATAAGCTTCAACTAGAAAACTGCTGTGAGATAATAATGATCGATAAACTAGTCTAAAAATCCTTCTTATGTCACCAAATCTATTCTCCCAAACACACCCCATCCTAACATCAATCAATCACCTGTGTTCTGTCCATTGAACCAAAGCAATTCATATTGGCAATCAAATATGAAAAATCTGAGACCCAACATTTATTGTTTGGTCAAACAATTTAATTAAGCATTAGTGAACAAAACGACATGTCATGTTCAATGGCTGCTTCAAAATGCTTCTTCTTGTAAGCCGCATTCCCTGCTTCCTTTTCCTTAACTAAGTTTAATCAAATATTTAATGAGTATACTTCTACACCTGTCATGTCTTCTTTCCATGCAGGTTACATGAAGAAATTCTCTTGTGAATGTAACACGAATTGGTCTACTATATATAGACGCAATCTAAGCTACACTAGCGTATTGCCCAGTTCTTCCTTACTTCTCACAATGCACGCAACGTTAACTACACAACTAGTTCTACCAACTTGGGATATTCACACACTTCAGAGTTTCTACAAGCTTCAATGGTAGAAAAGCTTTAAATGTTGAAATTGCTAGAGTTAAAAATGTTGCTTCAGATCCTATGATTTGATCTTATGAGCCTTGAATGATAGCCAGAAGCTATAGACAAAATATACCAAATGACAAATACATTGATTGAGCACCCAACAACGCAGCCTCATTCTTGCTAATACCAACTTGGAATGGTTTGGGCTAATGGAAAAGCAATTATTTTTCTCATTTCCACCCAAATCATATTTAAGATCCAAAATCACGTTAAGAAACAATTCACCCATGATTTTGACTAAATAAAACTTAGTTTGAACTTTATTTTTTTATTTTGGTGGTGAAATGTTAAGGGAAAAGAAAAAAATTCATTTTTTAATATTTAAATTAACATAATTATACAATGTTTATCAAAATTTAAAAAAAAATGTTAAATTTATATTGATTAACCACTTTAATTTTTATTTGAAAAAATCTTTAAAGATTATTTGATGCCAGAGTAAAAAATCTTCTCAAGCTTTTGCGGTAGTTAGTCTTTGTATTCAGCGACACACATAATCTGTGTAACAAAACAAGTTTATGTTTAGGGCGATGGCTACAGCTTACCTAATCTAACTGGCAGCCAAGAATATAAACACATTGGGCCTACAAGAGTTAAATCAACTACATGAATATGAATCTAAACCACAAACGTATGAGAAATCTAATTCACGTACTAGGGCCCAAGTTGGAATAGTAAATTCTTTCCTCAACAAATCTAGCGGCGGGTTTAGTAGCCACTTGAAAGTTGGATTTGAAACACCAAAACATGATATTTTATTTTAATTCAGTTCTAATTAATAGTAATTAAACGCCTAGTGATGATATTCTTTGTTGGATTGTTTCAATACTGAAATGATTACTCATTAAAATATCTCGTTTTAAAAAAGACTTTAATTTGCATTGTGGTTTTAATAATTGCCGCTGTCATCTTCAAGAGAAAACAATCAAGATTACTAAGCCATAATAATTATTCCATCGTAAAGGATTATTGTTATCACGATAATTACAAGTACAGATATTTTCTACCTCTCTCTAGTATATTGATTTGGAAGAATGATGAGCTCATAATCTTAGTTTGAACCTTATCGCATTCATCCATCACTTAACTTAAATATATGTGCAATACACGTCAACTATGGGGAATAATGAGTTGCGTGTGTCATGTCATTGGTTTAATAAGTTTTATAACAGTTTTTTACTAAATATTTAATATATTTGTATTTTTTACAACCAGATGATAAATTAAGCTAAAATAACTTCATGTCAATTGATTTGGTGGTCTAGTTTAATTTAAATAAACATAAAGATTGATTAACTTCATGAATAAATAGTCACTACAAAAAATTGATCATTTACTAACAATTTAATATTAAATTAACTTTCATTAGTATACATTTTTTCTACAAAAAATAAATATACTAGTATAAATATTGAGTTTGCAATAACAATATAATATAACTATCATTTAACATATTGTGAGTAAAACGAAGGATGTTCCAAACTTGGATGGAACGAGAACAATCTTAAAGACAATGAAGAAACACCTGCAACAAGAAAAATCAAAAGAAATATGTCAAAAAAGTCTAAAAGAGTTAGTAAGAAAATTCTCATACATATGATGAGGCAAATAAGTTGTTTGATATTTTCTGATTATTACAAACCCCAAACCCAATAATTATAGTTTTCCTATAGGCAACAAAAGGGTTGAAGAAACGAACAAACCCCTCATAACCAAGTTTAGCGTGACAGAAACATGTATTTGAGTTGGCCCGCATAACATCTTCAGAAGGTTCATCTGAAAAACAACAACTAATTTTGCACTCAATCACTTTAGGTAAAGGAATAACAAGTTGATTAAAGTGTGACACCTCATCATAGAAAATATATTTCACAAAAAGATGAGAATCATTAATATAGACATTCTCAACATAATTACAAAGACAATATAATTAAATTATATAATATATTATATCAATCATTAATATAATGAAAATATAGATGAATATTTTATATTAATGATAACATAACGCAATATTTATTTATTTTAAATAAAAATATTACATAAGGGAAGTCTGTGTAATGACAAATCTTTAATAAATAAATATTTTAATATATTAATTTCATTTTTATTATTATACAACTTGATATAACTTAGTTAATTGATTACACCAACTATATGCCATATGGTTATGGTTGTCGTCTTGCTATTTCTTTTTTTTATATTTCTTTCAAAACTTTTAATGTTTAATATAAATGCATATTTTCATTATTTTTTAATTTTATTCATAAAAATATTTATATTATTTTACAATTTTTTATAAAATATAAAATAAACTAATTTAATCATTGGTTTAAAATTTTATTAAATAAATTAATTTTATAAATTTTTATATAAAATTTAAGTGATAGGAACTACATCAAATTATTTTATTTTAATGGATAATATGTTTTTAAAATATAAATAAATATTAAATTTAAAATAATATATCTACAAATATTTAAATTATATAAAATTTAATATATAAATTATAAATCCAAAATAATTCAACAGTTGAATTAATTAATCATATATTCTATAAAAAAACATGAAATGGTACAAATTTTACGTCTGGACTGAAATGGAAGTTGGGAGACACATAAATCACTAAAAAGTCGCAATTGGGCTGTTTTGCATCTGATGGTTTGGTTCAATTCATAAACGATTTGAATCTGACACATAAATTGAATATTACAAGGAGCTAGCACTCGCGAATACAATTGATAAACGAATTTGCTTATAAAAAAGAAAAACCAAGGAGAAAAAAATTAGTGATAAAGTCACAAGATCAATCATGACGCACCTAAAGTCTGCTTCTCTATACAAAGTGACAAAAAAAAATAAAAAATCAAATCATAAGAAAACCTAACCTTAATGATTGAGCCAATATTCAATTCCCAACCTTACAGATCATACATACCATTAGATTTTTTTAAAATGAAATTATTAAAAAATACACACTTACAAATATATCTATTTTTAGGTTCCGATAAGAGAAGAAAATCATAATATATATTTTGTATAAAATTAAAATAATTTTGATATAGAAAGTCTCTTTGACGAGTCCTATACTATGCATATTCCGTATAATAATACTTATGTGAATGCCTGGGTGGTCGAAACTGAAGTTGGCGAAGTGGGCTTATAAATATATTAAACCACCGGCAACAGAGTGAGGAATGCTTTAAAAGAAAGCAGAGCAGTGCATAATTTCGGGAAAGGGAGAGACACAAGACAGCAGCATAGAGACGTAAACGCAAACATAAATAAAAAATATCACACACAAGGATCGCAGTGGCACGCATACCCAACCGTTTTTAACGTGTCATCCTCCAAATTTGCATGGCGTATTGTCTTTAACTGAGTCAAATTCTTAATAAACCCTCTGCTCATTCCTTCATACATACCATACACTCTTCCACTTTTCTTGTGTGAGCAACGAATAGCGTTTTTCTTCAGCTGCTATGGCAGTTGATCACTCTCTAATCAGCAAAAGCGCGCGGTGTACCCTTCTGTTATGGTCATGGATGTTGCTGATGCTGAGTTTCCCTAGTTCAGCCGCCAGGCTCAGCCGAAGAGAGTTGGACTTGGTCATTCGGTTACCGACCGAACCGGTGGATGCTGACGCTGATGAAGTGGGAACTCGATGGGCGATTCTCGTGGCTGGTTCAAGCGGTTATGGAAATTACAGGCATCAAGTGGGTTAATTACTTAATTTAATTAATTACTCTTATGTTTTAATTAATTGGTGTGTTTTTTAGTTCCTCTGTTTTTAATTTTTGGATTTGGTGATGAATTAAATACAGGCGGATGTGTGCCATGCTTATCAGTTGCTGATAAAAGGGGGCCTAAAAGAAGAAAACATTGTGGTGTTTATGTACGATGACATAGCTACCAACGAGTTGAATCCCAGGCCTGGAGTTATCATCAATCATCCTCAGGGAGAAGATGTGTATGCTGGTGTCCCCAAGGTGTGTATTCATTTTATTTTTCGATTCTATAACGTATAAGTTAAGCTAAGGAATTTAAGTACTTGATTAATTAATTTGGCTACCATGGCATGTGATTATGATCTATTAAAAAGCTGTATAATTATAAAACAATGTGTCAAGCTTTTGCAGTTTTTTGAAATGGTTTTATAGTATTTCACGAACGCGAAAGGTTCCAATATTGTTATATTCCGAAAGGGTAATTTTTTTGTTTTTGAAAAAGAAAAGGAGTGCACTAGTGCAGTGCACCATGCCTTTCGAAGGAAAAAAAGATATCAATTACACTATTTTTTTGTCTTTGAAACAAATTAAACTTAACTAGCTTCAACGTATTAGTTGATGAAAACCTAAGTTGGATTACCCCTCCCGGAGAGAAAAAAAGACACATGAATATGTCATGGTCGGCCAGTGCGGTGTAGCATCTGGTAAGTTGAATTTCTTTTTGATGGAAAGGAACGTTGATATTATCCTTGTCTCGCCAATCACCTTTGTCTTTTTAAGATAAAAAATTCCTTTGAACCTTTTGGTGCTGGCGATTGAACTAATTAGAGTAATTGAGTTTCTTTGCGTGTGCATCATAATGGTGTGACTTAAAATCTAGTGGTATTTGATTTGATAAGTTGGAACATTGGTTAACGCAATTATTGGGTTGTTGATGGGCATTAGTGGGGTGAGACGTATAGACAAATAAATTAGATGTGGTTTAAGGTTTGCATTCCTAGTTGATGATATATTTTAAACAGTAATATTTTAGTGGTTTAAGTTAATGGAATTGGTGTCTTTGACGGGATGCGTTATTCTGTTTAGGATTACACCGGGGAGAACGTGACATCTGAGAATCTATACGGCGTTATTCTTGGGGACAAGAGCAAAGTGAAAGGTGGAAGTGGGAAGGTGATCAACAGCAAACCTGAGGATAGGATATTTATCTTCTACTCTGATCACGGAGGTCCGGGAGTTCTTGGTGAGTTAAGCATCACTTTTTTCAAAAATTTAGTCCATAGCTCAAATTGCTTGTATATTTTAACTTGTGTAATAAAGTACCCAATAAAAATTTATATACATAAATATTTTTTTATTAAAAATTATAAAATTTAATGCATTTTCAGACATGCCTTAATATTGTTAAATGTTATAACATATCCTTTTATATAAGATAGAAAGATAATAATAATAATAATAATAATAATAATAATAATAATAATAATAAATGCAATCCATAAACTTGGAAAGACATTTTATACCTTTAATATCTTAAAAATCATGTCTATACCATGTCTATTAGACATTATTCCAATAAGAGAACTTATTTTAAGAGAGATTAAATTTTGTACATAAAAATCCAGATTAAAATATATAACTTACTACTTTTTAAAAGGTCATAAACACACATCCCTTGTATACACTAAAGGTTGTATAAAATATCATGGTCAAGGTACAAACTTCTACCGTTTTTGTACACTTGGATGCATTACCAATTTTGAATATCACATTGATCATATGATTTACAAATACATTGTAATAGTTAATTATTCATTTTGAAGAGGATTATGAGAGTGATCGACAAATAGGAGCCTTCAGACTTCATTCCTGGAGGTATATTTTAACATGAATGATCGACATCTCATGTGAGGGTGTGAAAATGATCAAATCAGAACTATGCTTATACTAGGGAAAGACATTACAGCTCAGTCGTGTCCTATTTGATTGTAGGGATGCCGAACTCTCCATTCCTTTATGCCATGGATCTTATTGATGTTTTGAAGAAGAAACATGCATCAGGAGGCTACAGGGAGATGGTAAAAATTTTATTTATCTAGTACATCGTGACTGTAAATGATGCCACTTCTTTAATTATGGTAAGTTATGAAAGAGTTATGATGTGGTCATAGGTTATATACATAGAAGCTTGTGAAAGTGGGAGTATGTTTGAGGGTATAATGCCCAAGGATCTGAATATTTATGTCACAACCGCATCAAATGCACAAGAGAATAGTTGGGGAACTTATTGTCCTGGCATGGATCCTTCTCCACCACCAGAGTACATCACTTGCCTAGGTGATTTGTACAGCGTTTCTTGGATGGAAGACAGGTATTATCCTTCTCTCTTTGGAATAAATATACCAATTTTCTCATGCAATTAACCTTTGATCTTGTAAAGTAAAACAATTGTATTCAAGTGATAATAGGTTGATCCTCTCTGCTTTGAATGAGGAAACTAACCTCTGGCGCTTGAAATTTCTGCAGTGAGACTCACAATCTAAAAAGGGAAACGGTAAAGCAACAATACCAGTCGGTAAGATATTTTTGAATACATAGCGATGTTATGATATTTAAGTATTAGCATTATGGAGAAGAGAAAAAACAATGTTGTAATTGTGCAGGTAAAGCAACGGACTTCAAATTTTAACAACTATGCATTGGGTTCTCACGTGATGCAATACGGTGACACTGACATTACAGCTGAAAGGCTTTATTTATACCAAGGCTTTGATCCTGCCACAGTCAACTTTCCTCCACACAACGGCAAGCTAGAAACTAAAATGGACGTTGTTCACCAGAGAGATGCAGAGCTTTTGTTCATGTGGCAAATGGTGTGCCTACTTTCTCTTCAATTCATCGTCTAGGCATCTAGGCATCTACCCCTTAATACAAAATATAAAATCATTGCAAAAATTATTGTAATGCACTTGTATAAAATTGATTTTTCTTACAGTATCAGAGATCAAATCATCAACCAGAAAAGCAGACAGACATCTTCAAGCAGATTTCGGAGACAGTGAAGCATAGGAATCACTTAGATGGTAGCGTGGAATTGATTGGAATTTTACTGTATGGACCAGGAAAAAGTTCTTCAGTTCTAGGATCTGTGAGGGCTCCTGGTCTGCCTCTTGTTGATGACTGGGCATGCCTAAAGTCAATGGTAAACACACAAAAGGACTAAATTTCCTTGTTTTTTTCAACATCAATTGGTAATGAATATTTTTAATAATCCTATTCTCACATTTTTTTATTGTTACTAAACTAAGTTTTCTTGTATCCCTTGTACATAGGGATTGATTTCTCTGTATAGGAATTGGACCAATTCTTGTTGAGATGTTATTATTTTATTACATTGCAATTAACTGATTATTGATATTGAACTTGGGATTGCAGGTTCGGGTGTTCGAAACTCACTGTGGATCTCTGACTCAGTATGGCATGAAACACATGCGAGCATTCGCCAACATATGCAATAGCCGCGTTTCTGAGGCCTCCATGGAGAAGGCTTGTATGGCAGCCTGTGGTGGCTATGATGCTGGGCTATTACATCCATCAAACAGAGGCTATAGTGCTTGATTTTGGGTTGTAGTAGTAGTACACACTAAGCCTTAACCAGCCCTTGTTGATGATGTCAACTTTGTTCTCTCTATAATTAATTAGACTATGCCAGGTAGCACACATGTAGCGTTCTGTAGTATTGTTCATGTATATATATAAGTGCGATACGTTTTCCATAAACTAAGCATGTTTTAAAGATTAAATATTTTATTAGTGCATGGATGGAATCGCATATTTTTTTTAAAAAAAAATTACTTCTTATAAAATAAAATTGGAAAAAATAAATGATTGTGTTTTAAAGTATACATGCATTTAGTTTATTTCCTCGCACCATTTTATTGGAGGTACTCTACTCGTTTTCATAATTTTTACCCCACTCTATTGTAGTTTTTGATGAAATTGGTTATATAAACAAATGTATACTTTAAACAAATGTGTGGTAATTGTAAGAAGCTAGAATTGTAATTGAGCTTAGTTCTTCTTTTTATATCTAAAAGTTGGATTGTTAGTGCTTCATAGTGAGTAATGTTATCAATCACATGTAGGGGGTAACTAGTGAATATATCTACTTCCAAATGGTAGAACTAGAATGTCAATCTCATAGCTTCCAAATTATATCTACTTCAGAAGTTTTTTTCTTCTTTTTCCATAGATATAAGTTGATTGTTTATTACTCTTTTAAGATTTAATAATAATAATAGACTATTTTATACTAATATATCTTTTTAAATTTCACCAAAATTATAGAATCACCATTTATTTATAAAAACACTTTAACTTTGCACATTGTAGTTAGTGGATAAATATATTATTTTAGACATTTCACATAAATTGCTGCTAACATAAATTTTGTAAAAACTTAATATTATATGTAATTGATGTTGACAATAATAATAAAAAAACTTAAAATTTTTATTTTAATTTAAAGTAAATAAAGGTTAAGTGACATAAGAAATAGACGATTGTGGAAGAGGTGATTTATTGCTAATGGTACTGGTGACACGTATAATATACATGAGAGGAATATGCAATTGTACATAAGAAATAAAATAATAATACTTGAACGTTTTAGCCTTATATATAATCTTCAGAAATTTCAAGCTAAACTCATCCGAAACATTCTTATAGAAAAGGAAAATATATCTTTTACATATAAGTGGGATAGTTTTTATTTTTTAATTTTATGTAAAAGAATTTCATATACGAAAAAATAAAAAAGAATTATATATGATAAATTTTGTATGTCCAAAATGCAAATTAAGTGGGCAATATTATCGATGAGACAAGATTTTGAGTTACAAACTGAAAAGTGGTTCAGAATTGCATCAATTTTATTAGAGCAGGGTATGGAGAACATATTTCTTTTACTGAATTTTCAGTGGATGAAACAACAAATGCAAAGGCGCTTGTGGAAGCCATGGGTGGTGGTGGTGATAATCTTCTGAATTCTCTGGAACTCGGAGATTCCGCATGGTATGGTTATTACACCAGGATGGTCGAACCCGTAAATTTTCTCTGCCTCCTCTAATAGCTTTCCAATGAGTGGATGATTGAGGTGTGTAATGGGTACCAACACACGCTGCTTCTCATCCTCCGATTCCCCCACATACACCGCCAAATGTCCCTTTGGAAGCTCTATTGGGCTATGGCCCAACTCTACATACTTGGGCTCCCATGTTTGCAAACACAATCCATTGCTTCCTTGTCCAAAACACCGCACCAATTTGAAGATTACGTTTCGGTTGCCACTGGCAGGGTACATGTGTGATTTTCTGATCATTCTCACGCTATAGCTTACAGAAACAAATGAAAATGAGTGTGCATTCTTTTATTAGTTGATTGTGGTCCTTTTTAAAGACTTGGAACTAAGTCGTTTCGTATGTGGATTGAGTGGGTCGAGGGTTAGACTTTGATTTATTTAGCGTGGGAATCTTGATCGTGTCATCATAAAACGATAATATAAAGGGAGAGCACTGTAGCTGGCGGACGCAGGCACTTGGGACAAAGAAGAAGAGGAAGTAAGGTCGAGGAAGTGTCCAAATATTTATGCTGATTTTATGCTATGTGCCAAATTTGGAAGATTTGTATAATTCCTAGTTTTTTCCAAACGGTATATCCCTTCGACGTTGCCCAGAAAGGTTCTTAACAAATTTGTAGCTTGGGAATTGAAAAGGGTAACAAGACATCCGTCCTAGTGAGATTATGTGGTACGATTGGCACTAAGTGATGGCCAGTTTATGATAATCTTTTAAAAAAATTATGGTGCAGTTTATTGTGAGTTGGATTGAATTTTAAATTCAGATACAATTAAAACGGGATCCCCTCATCTTGTTGAGCCACGAATCAGCCAAAAAACCTGACGAGTGAGTTGATCAGGTATTGTTTGATAAACTAGTTAGGAAGATTAACTTGTTTCCTTTTTATGATGGGATGGTAACTTAATTTACGTAATTTTAAAAATGAATTAGTTAAGAAAGTTAACATGTTAAAACATTAGAAAGAATAAAAGTGAGAGGTGTATTAAGAATATCTCTTAGCTGACCACCGATAACTATTTCGAAGTTAGTTTTACCCTTTTTAATATTTTCTTTATACATACAGCTCAGCATGGTAATCCATTTTGTCGTGTTTGATTTTATTCAACAAAGCTAAATGAAAGCTAACAACGACGACTACTCGAGGAATGAGCATAGTAAGTGTTAACAATCAACTCTATAGTAGAGAGTTATAGGGTTTTGCTTGGCTTTTAAAAGTTAAGCCAAATATATCGAGAAAATTTATGTAAAAAGAAATCGGAAATCAAGCACACGCATTATTTAGTTTTGATAGCAACGATTTTATCTTTAAGGTGTCATAATAAAAGAGAACTCATGTATGCTGCCATTCATTTTTTATTTATTCTCTTTTTTAGGGTTTGAGTATCCCTATACTCTTTATTGATAAAATTCTGTTTTGCTGATAAAAAAAAAAGTATTACGTGAATATTCAAATCTGGTTTTTTAAGTGATACATGTCTAATTACTTTAAAAATATGTGTGCAAAAAAAATAAAATCAGTTAAAAGTGTGTATTTTTAGTTCGAATAAAATCATTTCTTATGAAAAACACTTGTGATTTTAGAAAAAAGAATATATCTCCCCTTGTTCAAGTATAATATTTGTTCGATAAAAAAAAAAAAAACCTATATGTTTAATAGTTTATAGTATCCTCTCTCCATTTGTTACTTTTGTCACTCCTTTTTTCTTACGGGGAAGGACATTGGAGAAAGATACAATTTATCTCTATGCTTATGTGGTAGTAGATTATTAATATTAGGCCCCATTAACAATTTGGTTTTTACATTTTTTTTCTTTCTTTGATTTTGTTATTTAAAAAATGATTAGGAAGAAGGAGGGAGTGGATTGTAATTGAGTGTGTCCATTTAGGTCTTTAGGTAGTGTTTAATTTTTATTTTTATTTTTATTTTTTTGTCAAGAGGTAGTATTTAGTTTGAGAAAATATTAATTTTAAAATTTTATTTTCTATTTTCTGTTTTTAATTTGTCTGGAAATATGTTTGCTTTGCTATGTTCATTTTCGATCTGTTGATCTTCTTCTTTCATGTGTCCTACAGCAAATGCCTAAGATTAATTGGTTCAAACTCATTTATTACTTTCTGACATTAGGGCAAAATTATGAACCCTTTAGTCCGGATTTGGGGGGGAAAATTACAAAGTAAATTAAAATCAGATACTTCAAAACAAGGCAAGAAAATTGACAATCTCCTGGAATATCGGTTAAGTAAGATGAAAGCATGATCATATTGTTGATCCATGTCACTATTGTCGCGAGTTGTCGGAGAGAATTAACGCTAACAAGTTTTGTCCATATGGCTGAAATATTGATGATTCAAAACTAAGAACAAGGAAGGAATTCAAAGTTCAAACTCATTTTTCTGGACCCAAAAAAATCATTTTTTTTTTGTGTGTGCTATAACTCTTTTCTAATGTGTAAATGATATTGATATATAAATCAAACTGATGGAGAATTCTTAAATATCCCTATTTAAATAAAGGTGCATGATAACCCGAAGCCAGATTGCTTTGGCTTCAACCACAAGTATAACTACTTTATTTGGGACGAGATCGAACAACCTATTATGTTCCGAAGCAAGCAAGGTTGATGACATTGGCTCATTATCCTTGCACAGGTACAAGGATTTTGTTTCTTACAAATAAATTTCCCTAAAACAATTTTAAGACCCTCTCATCACCCTTTATGCATTTCTACATTCCAAATAATTATTAAAATTGTTTAGCGTAAAAAAATCAGTGTTTTACATGTTTTGTATGGGGGAAAATCTAATTATTGAGTATAAGATGTACTCAAATCCATTCATTCACAAAAGTTTAAGATAACACGTTGTGTAAGAGCAAAGCTTTAAACACTCTAGTGAATAACACAGCACTACAAAAATAACAATTTAGACTCTCCTATTGCATCAAAATCCAATTCCATCAGCAAAATTTGACACGATCCAGCAGTTGAGAATATCAAAATATTCATCACGAAAAATTACCTCGTTTGTTGTATATAATATTGCTGTACATTACTTTAAAAAAAATTATAGATAAATATTTTTCTCACAAGAAGCAAGTCTTTACATTATATATTTTATTAAATTTATTATGCAATAACAATGTTTTAGTAATTTTTAAATAATAATATGATTTAAAAATATTTCTATTTATATTATTTTAATTTAATTTTATCGGTCTTTTATCAGTTGCTCATTTTTTTTATTTGTTCACGTTTGAAAGAAAGTATTATTGTTTATTATAAATGTGAGATGAAATAATAATGAAAGTCATATTATAAAATTAAAAAATTAATATAAATGAGAATATTAATTATATTTCTTATTTTATGTGTTATTCTTTGTTATCCCCATTCACTTTTATTTATTGTTTAGGATTGTCTATAAAAATTGAGAAATATAATTAATATTTTACTTAATTATATCATCATAAAATTTATTTACTAAAATTTATTGTACGTCTTATATTTCATATATGTCTTGACATGTGAAAAGAGTGATCATGGTTATTGAAAAAAGTATATTATTAAAAAGCAAACATGAAGTTTTAAGGGTGAAACTAAAAATGTTTAAGTGTTGATTATTATTATAAATAACAATAAAAATAAAATGAAAAACTTGTTAAAACGTTACTCAAAATTAAAAAGAGTAAAATAAACAAAACAAGAACTAATTAATATTCTTGAAAAACAATAAATAAATAAAAATAAAAATTATGAATGCATTATATTATATTTTTAATATAAATTTAATTACTTGTATTTATTAATTTCTTAATAATACCTTTAAAATACCAGTTAAGATGCCTAAATAGATAATAGTAGCATAAAGAAACGACGAGAGCATGAATTAAACGAACTGACATTTTGATGCACGCAATATCTTAGCATGCTTTTCTATGTCATAACTTTGGTCGGGGGCATATGTCAGTTTAGAGCTTACTTAGCTCCAGGTCACGAAATAGTAGGACTCTAATTATTATTTACTACACTTTACTACTTCCTCTGTTTTAAATTAATTGTCGTTTAATTTTTTTTACAAAACTTTAAAGAATACTTAGTTAGTTTTATTGATTATTTACTTATTCATAGTTTAAATCATACAATATTCAAAAATATTTATTTATTGTTTATTTAATATAAAATTAAATTAAAATAATAATATTTTATTGATATTCTAAAACATTATTTATTATGATTTTTTTAAAAATTATACTTAATTTGAAATGAAAGAAATAATATATTACTATATCTATAAACTTATTTTGATGATATTTTATTTATTTTTAAAATATGTTATGAGTTAATGAGAAGTCTTAACATGGTTTTTATTTTAATTTTTTATGCATATAATTTTTAAGTTTGAACAAGTAAATAGTTCCTACAAATATTTTTTTTTTAAATTAATCTTTAATTTTTTTTTTGTTAAAGTTAATCTGCAAATTTTTTTAAAAATATTTTTTATTGTTAACTAAGAGATGTCAAGTGATAATTAAGCAAATAATATTTCACATCAAACTTGTCACGTAAAATGTTGCTAAAAGATATATTTTTTTAGAATTAGTCTTTATTAATTTTTTATTTTAATTTTAGTTTTGTTAAGTTTTTTAAAAAAATAAACTCTATTGTTATATCTTAAATCAACCTTCTTAATTTAGATAAAATCTTATATTTTATATTTTTCTTAAGAATATTTGATGAGTTAATATTATATGAAATTAAAATGTTATTTTTTGGTAAAAAAATTTAAGATGGTTAGAAGTTGCATTATACAATATAAAAATGTTTATTTTACTGTATTACTTTAAACTCATATTTCTATCTTTAAATAAAGTAGGAATTTTCCATTTTAAGAAGACTTAATTTAATCATACTTAATTTTATCTTGAATAATAAAAATACAAACTCTTTTCTTGTAACAATAAAAGTAGAAATATTAAGAAAGTTTGAATTGTTTCATAATAAATGTAATAATAGAAAATTATCTTATTAAAAAGTTTAAAGACTAAATAAAAAATAAAAAAAATTAATAGGAACTAATTAAAAAAATATTTTTTATAAACTAATTACATATTTAAATTTTACAAATAAAGTTAGTATTCCACGTGACAATTTAATATGGTGCTTAGTCGTCACTTTACAGTTCTTACATAATGATAAGGGATATTAAAAAAAAAATATACAAAAATAATTTTAAAAAAATTATA